TCACTGCTTCAAGGCTACGCTTGGCTACTCATGTTGAGGTGGAAGCTGAGAATTTGAATTGGTCTACTGTGTGGTCCTGAACTCATGGTTCTACACCTGCATTAATACTAGTGACTGCTGTGCAGGCCCTGTTTGCAGGTCTGTGCTGTTGCAATGGATCAGTCCACCTTTGCTTATTTTGAATTATTGGGATTTTGGGAGCCAATGAATGGATTTTGCTGGAACAGGTGCCCACTGTGTGTGTCTGTGCGGTTACCTAGTTACAGTGGAGTGAGTGTACTTGTATCAGAGTGTGGGATATGAAGAGAAAATTGGTTCAAGATGTTTAAAATTCTAAAAGGATTTAATAGGGCAGATCAAAACTATTTCCTCTTTTGCAGAAATTCAGAGTCAGTGTAGTGTCCTAAAATTTTAGCATGGCTGCACAATGGGTGACACCAAGAAGCAGTTCCTTTTACACCTATAGTCTGAGCAACATCTCTGCCTCAGGCTTGCTGCAGTGCTCCACCGAAGCTCAGCGCAGGCTGGGAAGAGCACCACCTCATTTTCCACTTGGCATCTCTGCAGCCTTTCGAATTCAACAATTTCAGGGTTTGAGGCACCACTCTCCATTGTACTTCCCCAAACCCCGCACACCAGGCCTTGTTATCACATATTCTGAGGAAGGGTCACCAGACCCGAAACGTTAATTCTGATTTCTCTCCAACGATGCTGCCAGACCTCCTGAGATTTTCCAGTAATTTCTGTTTTTGTTTCTGATTTACAGCATCTGCAGTTTTTCCTTTTTTACTGATCACATGGCCTGCTATTACACATAACCCATTGTTAGCCACTAATAGTCCCCATTAGCAGCCATTCATTGTCCTAGGCTTTTCGTTATCCACTCCTTTGTCCAACTGTTCCGCTCACTCTTTGAGCACCATCTCCACCCATCGTTTACTCCTTGCCCCCACCTCCTGTATTTTCTGCATAAAATCTACCTTTGTCCTAGCTACCATTGGTTCTGAGGAAGGGTCACTGGACCTGAAGTGTTAACTGTTCTCTGTGCAGATGCTGCCGGACCTGCTGAGCTTTACCAGCAATTTCTGTTTTTGTGGGCAACTGGAACCCACTGCCCGCCAACATAACAATCTGGATGGTTAATTGAAAGTGTCGGAGATGAGATTGTTGGTCTTTTGTTAGGTTAGGAGATGAATGGTTGTAGAGCGATGTGTTGGAATTGTTAAGCAGGCTGTTTGTGCTGTCTGCACTCCGTTTGGAATTGTTTCTGTTTACTGCGTACTCTTCACATTGAAGTCTAGGCTATGAAGGACAAGGACAGCAGATAGACTGGAACACCAACCCCCACAAGTTGCCCTCCAAACCACTCACCATCCTGACCTGGAAATATATCATTGTTCCTTCAGCGTTCCGGAGTCAAAATCTTGGACCTCTCTAACAGCATTGTTGCTATCCCTGCAGTGCATGGAAGGCAGCTCATCACCACCTGCTTAAGATGCCTTTAGGGATGGCTAATGAATCTGGCCGAGTCAGTGATATCCACATCTCGTGAATTAATGAAAGAAATCTTTGCTCAACTGTCCTAATATCTTGTTACAAGGACTCAGTATCTAAATTGCATTTCTCTGCAGCACTTTGTGATGTGTTACTACAATAAAGGTGCTATAGGATCGAAGCCTCTTCGTGTTTGTGTGTTAAAGTGACACATTCAGGTATGATCATGGAGCCCCTTGTGCTTGTGGCTTTTACTGTTCGGCTGCTCTTCCTGAGAGGACTGGCAGCCGCACTGAGTGCCTCACAGACCTGGCTGAATAGTGTGTGTGAATGGGGAAGCAGGTAAAGGTGTGCAGTTTGTCCATACCCCACTCGGGCTGAGAGAGAGAGATGGGGGGTCAGTCATGAACTAATATCCTTTTTGTCTTCCTGCAGCAATCAACTTTCTGGCTTACGATGAAGCTATCATGGCTCAACAAGACCGTATCCAGCAAGAGGTAAGCAACAAGGCCAGTGGGAATGGGAAGAGTCTGAGCAGCCAGGGCACCATCTTATCAACTGCGATCCCCAGGCAATCCTGTCTGGCAGTCGTTTGCTTGGACCAGATCAGAGTCTGGGACACGGATGGCTCACGCCAGAGCTCTCCACCGACAGGACAGAGAGCTCATGTCGGGGAGCCATTTGAGGGTGGTTTGAGCTGGAGGAGAGAGCTTGGGATGCTGGGCTAACCAGAATTTGGGTTGTCTGAATGGCAGGGCAGGGGGCCAGGTGAGGG